TAAATTTAATAAAACATATACTACATGATCCTGAATTAAGAACTATTAAACATTACTGGAAGAAATTAAAGAATTGAATACATTAATAGATCTACCATATTAATGAATTGTAAAACTCATTATTCTTAGCCATTAATTTTTCTTTCAAATTGAATTTCAGGCAAATCTCAAACAAACCTTCCAGGCTTTTTGTTTTTGTTTTTTACAGAAATTGACAAGCTGAGTCTAAAATGTAGAAAAAATTTAAAATGTGAATAGCCAGAATAATTCTGCAAAAGAATAAAGTTGGCCCACTTAGACTGCTTGACTTCAAGATTTACTACAGAGCTAAAGGAATCAAGAAGGTGTGAAAGGGGCTAAAGGTGTAGGGAAAGTGGGAAGGGTAGGGGAAAGCTATATGAGGGGAAAAATATGAGAAAATGAAGAAATGGAAATGAAGTGTTTGTAAAGGGGGAGGGAAGGAGGGGAGAAGGGAGGGCAGGGACCTGGAGAAAAAATGAGAACCAAGACCTGTCATGTAAAGGTACAAGATCCCAATAATGAATGTAACTGTACTGTATACCTAAAATGTACCAATAAACTCAATGAGGAAAAAAAAGAAAAAGAAGGTGTGATATGGCAGTGGCGGCAAACCTATGGCACACATGCAACAGCAGGCTGTTTGTATCAATGAGAGCTCTAAAAGGTTTGCCATCACTGGTATAGGAAAACACAAAGATCAGTAGAGTAAAATGAAAACAGAACTACTTCTGCGTATATTGATTTTTGACAGAGGTGACAAAGTAATTCGATGGGGGAAGTAGTCTTTCAATAAATGGTGCTGAAATAATTGACATTTACAAGAGGGGAATGACTTCAACCTTTATTTCATAGTAAACCCTAGAATTAATATGTGCCATAGACCTAAACATACACACTAAAACTATCAATCTTTGAATTCAGGGGCCAGAAGAGCAGAAGCCTGTTTTTATAAATAATGATTTGCTTTTTGTTCCTGTGGTATCTGTTTTTGTTTTGTTTTATTTTTAAGAAACAGCCATGTTTGAGTATTGTGTATGATTGCTTTTGATCTACAATAGCAGAGTTGAGAATCTGGGGCACTATGGCCTGCAAATCTACAATACTTACTATCTGTTCCTCTAAGAAAAAGTTCCAGGATCTTTTTCTAAAACGAAAAAAAAAAAAAGGACAAAATATAGGGAATGATTTATCAGACATAAAGAGCAAGAACAATAAAATAAAGCATTGGCAAACTAGACAAAATTTAAAATTTCTCTTTGAAAAACAGTTAAGATATGAAATGTAAGTTACAAAAAAGGATTGATATCCAAATTATTTCCGGACCCCTTACAAATCAGTAATAAGAAAACAAAATGAGTAATGAAGTGAAGAAACACTTTACAAAAGAAGATAAACAATTGGGCAATAAGAGCATGAAAAATACGTTCAAAACTATTACTATTGGGAAAAGGCAAATTTAGACTACAATGAGATACTACTAAATAATAATAAAAGTTTTCTATTACACTGAAATATCAAATGGCTGGTAGCCTATAAAGTGATTGTAATTGGAATATGCTGTGATACAAGATAAATACAATCACTGTAGAAAACAATGTGACAGGTTGGGTGGGGGTTCTAGGGATGGAACACAGATCCTTGCACATGCTAAGCAAGCACTCTGCCACTGAGCCACATTCCCAGTCCCTCTGGCAACTTCTTATACAGTTAAACATAAATTTAATATTCAACCCAACAATGCTGCTCTTTCATATATCCGAAAGAAATAAAAACACATCATTTGTTTCAAAATTTGTTTACAGAAATTTTTTCCTGACAGTCAAAAACTGGAAACAACACAACATCCATTGACTAAATGAATTAAAAAATTACAGTATAAACTTAAATGGAATACTACCTAATAAATATCAATGGCACAGCAAAAATTCATGGATGAACCCTGAAAATATGCTAAATCAAAGAAGCCAGCCTCTCCCAAGTGTATATAGATATGTGTGTGTGTAATATGATTCCATTTATTAAAAATTCTGGAGAATGTATAAGAAAGCTAATCTTTAGTGACAAAAAGTATATCAGTTGTCTATAGACCAGGTGGTTATGTAGATATGGGAGGAATTGCAGATGAAGGATGTTGGCACTTTAGAGTGATGACAATGGTATGTATATGTTTTGATCATGATGGTAATTTTATTTATTTATTTTTTTGGTACCAGGGATCAAACTCAGGTCCTTGCGCTTGCGAGGCAGGCAGCAGAACAACTGAGCTAAATCCCCAGCCCCATGGTGATAATTTTAAAACTCACTCAAAGAGCATTCTTAAAAACAGGACATTTTATCCCATATAAATTACACATTAAAAAATTATATGTTTATGTATGTATATCCTATCAATTACATTATGTGGACCTTAGCTGGACCTATATTCAAACTGTTAAAAAATGACCTATAATTGGACTGAACAATAACTAGATATCAGACAATGTTGGTATTGAATTTAATAAGCAATTTTTCTTTTGGGAAATAAATATATCATGAAAGGGATAAAATGATACAATCCCTGAGATTTGCTTCAAAATAATATGGAGGATTAAATGAACTGGAGTAGAATAAATGAAAAAAGAATGGTCCTGAGTTAGGTGATAATTTCTGAAATTGAGGTTGAGTACACAGGGACTCATTGTAATATTTAGTCTACTTTCGTATATGTTCAAATTTTTCAATAATAAAGAATTATTTTGTTTTGATTTTTTTTAAAGAGTCTGTCCTTCAGATCTACTCTGGGCCATCTCAATATTGCTCCCATCAGCTCTATCACTTTTCCTTCAGAGTTCCCTTCCCTTTTCCCCCAGTAAAACTCATGTGTAATATGTGATTCAGGGCTGACCTAAAATTATTGTCCAATGAATGTCCTTTGGAAGCAAGCCAACTACAAACAAATCTTACATACTAAGCACAAATCTAACATCAGCTGGCAGTTGAGAAATAGCTGATAAATTATAAGTAAAATTGTGGCAAGTTCTGTTAAGATAATCCCTGAAATTCAACTTACTTCTTTCCCAATACTTTTCAAAACATGTTAATTATCCCCCATCCCTTCCCTAAAAGTAAAACAATGGCACTGAAAATTTTCTCAGCAATACATACTGAAACTTTTTAAGAAAATGTCTTATCGGGCAGTATCATCCCATGTCTGCTCTCCAAAAAAAGTGTGCCACTTCCTTATTATAGTAATAATAAATAAAGACAAAGAATATAATGCATACCTTCCACAAAAATCTTTATCATGCTAAAATGTGCTTCTTACCTTCCTTTAAACGTCCCCCTAATTTCTTTATGCACATGGAAGTGCCTTTATATGAATAACTGATTACACTGGAGGTGAGTGGGAAATTAAAAACAATCAAGCAACACTATAGCTTCAAAGCCTTAAAGCAGAAACAGGTAAGGTGGACTGGTGACATCCTGGTATGCATTAGAGATAAACAGCAATTTTGTCCAGAAGGACCCTTCTATCTTCTGTGCTTACTAAAATCATACCTTATCTTCAAGATCACCAAAAACACCAAGGCTTCTTGGCTTCTAAGAAGACTCTTCATCCTGTCCACTGAAAATATTAATTCCTCCACTTTTCCCTGGGGTATTTACCATACTTCTCTTAGAGAACCCATATTACTCGGCATTAGGCCTTATTTATTCCAGACCATATATTGTTATCCCAATAGAAATGTTCTGCAGGACTCTTGTCTAACACGGTGGGATCCTACTAAATTTTCTGAGTAGGCACTGAATAAATTACCAATGACACAAGAATTAAAATCCTTACAGGGCACCAGCTTTGTTCAAGGTTAGTACTAAACCCTGAGACCAACAGCAGTTGTTGAAAGCCCACATTCCTAGGTCAAGGGTTTTTTTTACAGCTGGGAGGTGACCAGGCTGATAACTTCTATTTTAGGAAGATGGGGTCAGTGGGAATGACCAGCCACCATGCAGTCAGTCACCTAATACTGCTTTCTCCATCTTGGCTAAAGTTATATTTTCTGCCAATTAGGAGGCACTGAGATACTTTCTAACCCAATCTGTCTTATTTTCTTCAAGACTCCTCTAAAACACGAGACCAGAGCTATCTTACTGTACAGCTAATGAGGCTTAAGTGTCAGAGTTCCTCACTTGCAGTTTCCTCATTAAGGAAGCATTTTTTGTAGGCATTTCTGGCAAACTGCCTAAAGAAATCGCTGAAGGACCTTAATTTCCAAGACACCGCTAAAATGTGTTGCGATTTATTAACTTATTCTAAATATTTACCTTCACATTTAATTTTGAATTCTTTTTCGGAGGAAGGGACATCCCTTCTCAAACTCACTAAGGAGGTGAAGCTAACGGCCAAAGAAAAGAAAAAGGTAAACGTAGAACAAAACGTTCCATGGAAGTTTCTGCTGCACTGAAGTCTTGGAACTTCTACAAAACATATGGTCCCTTTTTTCCCCGCGCAAAAAAGAAACTGGTACAGATCCCCAAAACAGAGTGGAGCCCCACCCTTGGTCTGGAAAGGACAGTGGTGAGGTGAGTAAACCTGGCACATGTCAGGCTCTAAAACAAGCAGAGTCCTGGGCTACTGGGTTTCCGCTTTTAAAGCAAGGCTTCCTCTGAACACCAGATTTCCATCCCTGGCAGGGATCTGGGGCACTCGGGTCAATAAACACACAAGGGCACTCGCTCCCTGTAGTCTCCGTTTACCAATCCCTATTTTGTAAAACACACGCCTGGTCTTTGGGCCCCAGCTGGGGAAAAGTGGAATGGGATCGGAAGACCCCGGCCACAGGGGGAAGGCAGAAAAGGCGTGGGGAGCGGCACTCCCCAAAGCACGGGAAGTTTTGGCACCTCTGGGTCCCCTCGCCCAAGCGGTAAACAGCAGAGATCTGCGGGAAGTGAAGTGTGGCAAGAAAATGTAAACATGGAACGTGAGGTGTATGTTACTTTACCTCTGCCTTTGAATGTCGGACTGAAATTTTAGAAAACTTCACCCAACTTCCAAAAGAGGTACCACAGGGACTGACGGGCAGGAAGGACGGGGAAGGAAGCCAAGGGGAGGGTAACGGAGTCTCCGAAGTCGCAGAGCGGCGACATCGCGGGCGGCGGGTCAGACGCTGCTGCCGAATGCTCGGTGGAGACAGGGAATCCAAGGACGCCCCGTGAGAAACTCTGTCGCGGCCGCAACGTCCGTTCGCCCCTCGCCCCTCGCCCGGCTCCTGCCCTCCGCAAGGTCCC